CAATGTCTAAATTATTCATATATTGTAATTACTCAATTCTTTTCAATGATCTATTGTATTGGTAGCCGTTGCCGTCGCGTTGCCGTCCTGAAATCGTAAGGTCTCTAATGTCCGTCCGGCGCGACTTCCGCCACGCCCTTTTGGTCGGGCAAAACATCTCACACATTTAAAAGAATATAGGTCGAGTCGATATAGAATAAGAAACAAAATTATAACAATAAAATGATTTAATTAGAAATTGAATCAGAGTACAAAGTTTGGTGCAAATTCTAAAGCTAAATTGTGCATAACAAATTTCAAAAATTACTCATTTAGTTATTTAATTCGACGACTGTCAATATTTGAAGGCCATCAAAGTAAATACATCGTGCATTGTTGAAACCTAATTATCTAAAAATGATTTGATGTCAATTATTTCTTTTTTCCGGGTGTTCTCTCCTTGCCACGGGCGTAAACTTGATATGCGGCTTTGAGGCCACTCTCCAAGGCACCTTGAATCCAACCAGCGGCAAATAATATGGTTTCTCCAGCGAAATGTACGTTACCCATGGGTTCCCACAAAGTTCTAAATTACGAAGAAATAAAAATAAATATCGATGAATAAAAGATACATATATTATATATTATACCTCAAATTCAAATTGTCCAATCAGGAAGCTTAGTTTGTGCCACGTGAGCATGAAATTAATCGCGATATCACGCCTTACGTCATCAATTAGCGAGCCTGCGTTCCTTTTGACAATTTTCCACCCCATGTTCCCCGGGGAACATGGGGTGGAACATTATTCGCGTAGACCACGCGAGACAACACGCATGACAAAAACATGGCCGACAAAATATAAATAGTATTGATGAGTGATGAATAATCAAATTTTAAACGTAAAACCTGGGGCTTTTTCAAAATTTTGAAGCAAATTTTGAAAAATATTGTCATTAATATTCCAAACGATATGTGATTCGAAAGAAAATCGACGAATACTTGCGTTAATCCGAAAATAAAACATCGCATTCACGAAGGTATGTGTCAAGTTTTTAATTCTCAACTTGGAGGCTTTTAATTTTCCGTATAATATATCATTTATAGACCCTCCGCTCGGGGGATTCGGCGAAATATTACCCTCAGTGGTGATATTTCCCTCGGGGCAAAGCCCCTCGGGAAATATCATCACTTCGGGTAATATTTCGCCGAATCCCCCTCGCTCCAGGTCTATAAATGATAAATGTTATTGGCTAAGTGAGTGGTGCGGATTGAAATTAAAAATAGCGCGAAGATTATCCTGATCGAACATGACAAATAAAATATCTTGATGATAAGAACACATTTGTTATCGAATGTACTATAGACTTAGTTCCGAAATACCACACACTCGTAGCTCAGTTAGCAGAGCATTGGCTAATATCCCAAAAATCGCGGGTTCGATTCCCTGGACCAGCGTAGTCATGCAAACTTTTCAGGTTGTCAGGTGTGGATACACACTCTAGCTGAGTAACATCACAAACATGCATTACAGCCTGAGTACGTAACATAAAATCACACACAGAAAAATTAATACTAAGTTGTTTACAACACTGAACCAAGAAGATGAAACAGAAACAACAGATTTTAATTAATACAAATTTTAATTAACACGGTAAGGCGATTTTAATTAACACGGTAATCAATAAGTCCGAAAATAGTAGTTTCAGACCATTTCCTCTCTAGTTGGGCGAAAGAGTCGTTCAATAACAATGGAAGCAAGTAGGTATCAATCTACAATACTTTTGTTATATAGCAAGGGTGAACACCAAACGTAATTGGCTGATTTGTGGTCACATGACTTCAGATAAATGCAATGTAAAAAAAAGTGAAAAATTGTTGTCCGCCAGGGGCGTAGGAAGCTTAGAAAAGTTGGGGGGGGGCAGGCTTTGAGGGGCACTTTCCAAAAAAAAAGGGCATCTCCCCCATCTCTCCCCTGGCGACCTCCTCCCCCCCCCGTCGCCAAAAAAATTTCGGTCAGTGAACCATTTTAGGGGTAAAAAAATTTTCCGGACATACCATATTTTTCCTTAAATACTAAAAATTTTTTCCGGAAAAACAAATATATGATATTTTTATCGAAAACTAAAACATTTTTCGGAAAAAACCTACATTACAGTTTTCACAAGTTTCGTTTGGACAAAAACTGCGAATTTTATGAAAATTTTTTAGGCACAAAAAGGGCACTTTGCTCCTGTAAAAAGGGCACTTGCCAAAACTTGGGAGGGCCATGGCCCCCCTGGCCCCCCCGGTTCCTACGCCCCTGTTGTCCGCCGCGACCTTGAAACGGTTTAAGTAGGTTCTTTTAATTTTAAACTCGTTTGCACTATACTGTAGAGTTTTTGTTACGAAATACAATTGTTGTATGAATGTTGTTCAATGTTGATTTTTGTTTGTCGCGTCTGTTCCCCTGGGATATAGTTAGCTCTCAATGTTTCCCCCGACTTCCTCTCGGGAAGCATTGAGACTCTCGGGAAAACTATAAACAAACTATTTTCCGCCGGAGCAGACATTGAGTGTATAATATTTTGTGGTATGTGGGTCGAAGAGATATTTCATTGAGAAAATATCTGCTTTTCCAAACTATGACGGTTTTACAAAAATTTAACGTCATCAAGCACTAACGAAACAAAATCACTGTAATATATCAATCGGTAACTTCAGACTTTGTTTAATAATATGGGGAGAGTAAAAATGATTAGAAATACAAATTGCGTGGAAACAAAATCTAGTTTTTGGTTGTCAATTTTTTGGTCGCATTCTGTCGGTTTAACTACAGGAAAGGCGCATGAATTTACATGAAGATTGAGTACGGCATGGAATTCATCCCTTCATTTGAGATTGAAATGACAGAAATAAATTGATTAAAATCTTCATCTCACAAATGTCAAGCATTAGGAATTGGTTTTGTGCGAGATAAATACAATTTTGCTCTGATTCCCACCTGATATTGTTAAACTGACTGGTCTTCAAAAAGCCAAAGGCACCTTGATAAGAGGGCTTGTTGTACCAAGCATGGACCACAGACTTTTCAACCATATTTTCCTGCTTGATTTCCGGGTGGATTTTTGCGATTTGTTCAATTGCCTCCTGTTTGACTTGATCAGGCCTCAAGGGACCAAAAATCAGTGCGTCATTGTTCCAAATGTAAACCATAATTATTCCTTGCTTCGTGGAATTGACATATTTCGGGTCCGGCTTGACGTAATGTATTTGGCCGATTGGGAGGTTGGTCTTGGAAAAGCCACCTTGGATATTGTAGTTTTCATCCTCCCAGAATCTTGTTTGGGTTTGCAGGAAGATTTTGGTCGACGGTGCGGTATTGATGTCGTCGATGGCTTGAAGACTCTTTCGCTGTTCATGCTTAGCATGTAGGTATTCAGCCGGCAGCGGTTCAAAAGTGAGTTGTCTCAATATGTTCACCGTTGTGGTAACAATGACTGCCTGTATCAAAATGAAACAAAGCTCTTTTCAATGTCACCTTGAAAAAAGTATAAAACATGATGTTTGTGATGTTACTCTGAGTGTATATTCACAACGGGCAACACTGTGAGTAAATACAAAATAACAGTAACTCCGAATAACATTTTGATTTTTAATCGAAATGTCGATTAAAAATCAAAATGTTATTCGGAGTTACTGTTGTTTTGTATTTTCTTAAAATACTGAGTGGTTCCCGTAATTATTGGCCAAAACTGAGAGTAACATCACAAACATCATATTCACCTGAGTACATAACACCAAAACAGAAAAAAAAGAAAGAATAAAACGTGTTCGAAATAAAAGGTATCGGCTGGAAATGAATATGTCATCTTTTCTTATATTTTGTAGAGAACATGCTCAAGGCCAGTTTTTTTCGGAATTCGTTGTCGCTTTACCAGGCTTTTTAAAAATCACTCAGCCGTGTTACATAAAAAATGGCATATTCATCTGTTTTTAAAGTTTGTTTGTTCACAGCAAACCGATATATCAATTATGTTTTCTCTCGCTACTCTGGTTTATATAAATGAATACAAAGCCCAGTCAAATTGTAATCAAGATCCTTTCTTTTTTTCTTTCTTCTATAACGTTTCGGCACACCAGTTTGGTGTCTTCATCAGGGGTGATTTAAAGTTGCGATTTGGGTTCTTAAATACCCAAGGGATGACGTCATCTGCCAATAAGATGCATGTATTCTTCTGGCAAATACTGTAGGCACCGTCATCCCTATTCAAAGCATAATTACTCATATTTATATGCCACGCTTCTAAATATGGTAATTACTTTAGAACTTTCCCACGCAATCTTGTGTTTGGTGTCAGACACATGTTCTGCTAAAGCTGATTTCCCCTTGTCTAAAGTTGAAACAGACGTTTGATGTTCTTTCAGCCGTGTACCAAACTGGCGTCTAGACTGACCCAAATACTCTTGCTCGCAGCCAACGCATGGTATAGGATATACAAGATGAGTTTTTTTATTTGTTTTAACAGGATCTTTCCGCTTTGCGAAAATCTGGCCTAAAGTCAAATAGGGTTTTAAGGCAATCTTATTGTGCAAATAGGCTTTTAAGGCAACCTCTAGCTATATCATCACTATTATAGGGAGGGACAGCAGAGCGATTGGATAGTAAAAGAAGTAAATTCGTGGTAAAGAACTTTAAGCCTGGAAACTATACTACGCCCACCTATCACCTGGTGATAGACTGATATATTTGTAAATACTAAATTATAAGGAATTCATGCACGGATGTGTAAAGAAAAAAAACAACAATTACACAAATCAGTATAGGTAACAACGGCATCAAGTTAATCCTCACTCTCGTCTGATAAATGAATATGCCATGTATGTGTCCTGTAGCTGCTTTTGCTTTTCTACTTAATACTATCACGGTTAATAGAACTAGATGGTTAGGCTAGCCGGCAAACTTCAAAGGGAGCGGCAAATTATGTCGAGAACCACTTTTATTTGTGTCACGTGACGA